TAAATAGTTTGTAATTATTTTTAATCCTTCATGTGAAAATGTTTGAAATAAATAACTTCAGTTTTCGATGGTACCTATAATGCATTTAGCACACTAAAGTTGGATACTTGAATAAAATTGATTTTTGGCTTATGTAATATTATAATTAAAGTATTTCAAAATTATATGTTAGTTATTAGTTATTGTGTAGTTATGTATTAAATCTAATAATACATTTGTAATAAGGATTACATATTATTATTGTTTTACAAAAAATAGCTTCTACCCAAGGCTGCAATTTGCGGAACTGAATAGTTTATTGTGGATTTTGGTGATCGAACTTCAAAAGAACGGTTTTAAATTAAAGCTCATTTCATGTGGGATAATAAGGGTAGACTGTGAACGTAAAAAAAACACTATAATATGTATATATATTCATCAATAATGTATCTATGACGCTGATGGACGACGTACACTATAGGTATACTGTATGGGTAATATTAAATAGCTAGTCTGTAAACTATCAACATTTAAGGTGACGTGTGTAACAATAAAAATACAGTAATTATAACGGTTGAAAAAAAAACAATTGAGGATAGATAAGCTTTCAAATTCACCATTTTAGTTCGCAAATACTTGTAACGTTACGGGCAATAGCTCGTAGATACTAGAGAATGAAATAACATGTAAAACCTTAGGCATGGAACAAAATTTGAACGGAATGCGCTTTAATCTTAAGGAGACCCAGCCGTGCAACAGTAACTATTTATAAGGGTTGTCGTTTAGATGGTTTTGTCAAAATACTTAAGACCAATGAAACCGTAATGACACGATTCGGAGAATTTTCTACGTATTTTTAGGGCGGTCGCGTTTTGTTTGTGCTTATTAGACCAATAATCCGAACGAAACGACGCAAAGTACACTGATGCATGTCCAATTTCATTTTCCGAAAACAGATTTGGATTATTTTACCTTTTTCTTCGTGGCATAAGTACGTCGAATACGAATGTTTTACATTTACATAAATTAGCATATTAGGTACTCATCATGAAATATTTCGGGAATCAAAATCGGTTTTCCTAAGTATTAGTAGGATAAATAATTTAAAAACTCGAATGGGACGTGAAGACAATAAATAAACAAACAAACAAACAAATATTTTTAGTTTTGAGTTCGTACAACTATGTGGAAATATAATATCGCTGTTAATTCGAAATGTTATATTAAACTATGGGTACAGAAAACTATAAAATTTCAATAGTTATGGCACCGGCACTGATATTTATAGATATTTTAGAATACTGAATTTACTGTAGGTAGGTACAATTAGTTACATTTGTAAAGAGATTATTATTTTATCGCCACACTCCTTAAATTATATAAAATATCTTAGTATTTTAAAACAATAATATGGTCTCTAAGTAATTCCGAAAATCAGAATTTGAATAAATACATTGTTATAATGGACTAAATTGCGGTGGGGGGGGGGGGGTATTCCCCGTTTGCTCGTACAGCAGAGTACCCATACGACCTACAAAGTACCTATATACCTACAGACTACAGAGTACAAAGCACGAGTCTGAGAACAATGATTTTTTTATTATTTCATCTCTTAGCTAAGACAGAGGTTCTCAAATTGTCTGTTGCGCTTACCGAGGTACGTATATTATGACGAGTATTACGGACGAGCCTCTACTGTAATGATGACAGAAAACGCGAAACTATTCAACACAAGGATCTGGGAAAAAAATATTATGTTCGTTTCATCAATATTTTGCATTTTGGTCTATTGCCCGGCCCGTACCTCAGCAGTGTTGTGGTTTGAGATCCACTGCAGCGGCCTAGATACAATGCAATAATATCATAATATCATACGGCGCGTGATCCGCCAAAATGTTATCGCCACTCTTCGAACGTGCACACACACACACACACACATACACACACACACACACACATAGTTAAAAACAATAATAATAATATTAAATCATACGTCATTCAAGGTGGCGCAACAATAATAAGGAATATAAGGATTGCCATTAAACGCGGACTGACAGACGAGGAGCCCGAGTGGCTGTTGAAATGCGCGCCACCGGATTTATGGTTTTTAATAACGTGGCGCCCATCGGGTGCGGGCAAAGAATATATATATATATATATGTATACATTATGTCGGTTCTGCTTCCCGTACGACGAGTATTATATATTATATTATACGTCCTGAGGTTCGTGAGAGCAGGGCCCGACCGTGGTGCGGCTACAATCGTTGGGGGTTTTGGCGGGGGCGAGTGCGGCTCCCGTTTCGGGGAAACGACCTTAGGTATATGAACTATGTGGGTAAGCGTACAATATATTATTACATAACACTGTTGCAGGTGTATAATAATAATATAATGCTGGCTGGATGGCTGGCGGCGGCGTTGTCGGATAAAACGACGACAACCGACCGGAACCGTGGGGCAAAAAAAAGTTTCATTTCCTATCAAAATAAGAAATTATTACAACAGGAAGAGAACGAGCGGGTCGACTCGTTAGACGAAACAAAAATATCCAAAAATAAAGAGGTGGAATTCGCTCACTCCTTCATTAGGTTGACATTAAACATGGCATTGCGGGACGGAGAGGGTGACCTTCTTTTTTTCTTTTTTTTAAAAAAAAATAATTATTGTAGTATTTTCATCCCTTTTTTGTTTTTCGTTTTCTTTTCTTTCGATACTTTTTTCCCGCTCCCTCGCCGGGAAGTCAAATAAATTTAATCACGAGCGTTTAATTAAACGTTTGATTGAAAGACGCAAGAACAAAGAGCAACGGCTATTAATTAAACTTTCGAGTGGAAAACGTTTTGTGGAAACGGCTTAAACCTTTATAGGTGCCCACTGAGCCTTGTAAGAGAGGGAATATATTATTATATACCTTTATATTATTATCTATGAATACGCGTCTGCCTGGACAAACCGTTTAAACAAACATTTAATTTCACTAAAAATGTTCATTGTGTTCATCTTTTTCTGCTCATTTATGAACTTAGTAAAATAAAAATGAACTTAAAGCCATTTAACCCAGACAACAATCAGTAGGTAACAATACAATTGACGTTCGCAAATACCATAAACTCAGTACAACAGAAAACATAACGTTTAGGATATAATTTATATTGTGTGCATATCTGCTTTACCGTTACATTAATATTTGAAGTTTCTCTTTCCATCGGAAGCACGATTTGTGTACACACAATGGAAGACACAAAAAGTACACACTTTTGAAATGAAAAATACAAATTCCGATACACTGCGTACGAATAAAAGATGCATCAGAGGGTGGGAGAAGCAACAAATGGTGAGATACGAACTAGATCCATTATGAAAACCTCCTAACTGTTTCAAGTTAATTTGAAAATAATACATCAAGTTAAAAGCATACATATGAATATCTATATAACTGTAAATGAAACTAATTAATTAATTATTGTTTATGTCGATATAAGCTCTGGACATGGGTTTTTAAAATTAAAATAATACAATGAATATTCCTTAATTTTATCATTTATATGACACAAGTCAATTACATTTGCCTAAACCTCTACGGCTAGTTTGAAATAAAAAAATAATAGTAAAGTCAAAATCATTATTCAATTTGAAAAAAGCGAAAGTTGCTCTATATACGTGACTCAAATCGTGATAAATGTTAATTAAAACAAATTAATGGTAAATTCGTTAAATAATTTAAGTTGTATATATCCTAACTTAAAATGTTTAGAGTTGAAAATATAATTTGTCCATGATGTGTTTATTTAATTTATTCATAACTTATAGCGTTGAACTATTTTAACTAGGTAGCACGAGTTAATTTTTGTCATTAGGTTGCCCACTTATAGAAGCTATCCATTTAACTGTGGTTGATTTAAAGTTTTGAAAAAATTATCTTTAATTATGTTATGTGATAAATAATAAACAGCTCAAATCAAATTTTCAAATATAGAATCAAATATAACTCATAAGTAATTAAAAAATTTAAAGTTTACTTTAATCGGTGAAACGTTTTTAAAGAAAACCACATGTACATAAGTATGACAAATACTAGTCAACAAAACAATATTTAGTTTAAAAACTTCAACTTTTTATACACTCTGTTATCGATAATTTATTATTGTCATAAAGTTTGCATAGTACATACATTTTAAACATTTAATTTGGCGATTTATTCAACAAAATTTATAATATTGTTTTAATTCTAGATTTTCAGGTTCAACGTTTCAGAGTACTTGCATTTCGATATTTTATACAAACAATACAAACGAGATAGCAACAATTAAATAACGGACTGAGTCTAACAACTATTTTATTTGAGTTGTTATATTTGGAGGAAATTTTTGATCTCTGCAGACATAAAATGAGAATTATGTTTCACGTTTTATTTTAACAATGGTAGTTCATAAACATAATTTTGTTGTACATTAATTTAATAATTGTTTAACAAATTCACTAAAAGTACTTCACTGGAACGATCCGATAATAATCGTATAATATATTTTTTCCTTTTAAATGTAGAAATCCATTTGAAATTAATTAAAACATAAATTAATATTTATGTACAGAAGTTGTTTTAATTTTTAAAGATAATTACAATTATTTATGCAGATTCCTGTAGCTAATAATTGAGATAAGCACCTAATTCTTTAAATTCATTTTTTAAAATTATTTTTGCTGCAGTACTTTTATAGTTGGACGAAAATCCTCTATATACATAATATACCAATAAAAATAAGCAACTGAAAGGATTTTTTTGATTTATGTTTACGCTTTAGTTGATTATTACTGTTGGTGAGTAAGCATATTATTCAGTAGGTGTATTTTTTGATACAATTTAATTAAAATCTATTTATTGATATCAGGAATGTACCAATGAGAATTATAATAGAATAGTAAATGATCAAATTGATATATAAATAATGTATTTTCCGTTTGAAGTTTGTTGCAGTAATTGGAAAAGAAAATAAGCAGTAGTTGATAAATTTCACTTACCCGAGTGTTTGGAAATAGTTCTTTTGGTTTCATGTTCACCGTTAATTATTCCATTGGTGCCTGGTTGAGATTTATCTCTGAAAAATATAAACTGATTTATAATATATGTATTATTGTTTACGAGATTCTAACTCAAAATATTTAACACAGATTTGAATATTAAGCAGGGAGGCTTTTTTTATTCACATAAAGTCCGCAATTTGTAACACTTAGGTAAATGGTATTTAAATAAATATTTGTTTTTACAAATTAATACTATTTATTGTTAGATTTTATTTCTGTAGTGTAAAATTAAATTAAATTATTTTTTTGAATAGGAGGATGTTTGATTAATTACCTATAAAAACATTTAAATTACTATCTTGCTTCACAAATCGATAACATTATATTAATACAACTTAAAAACGCGATGCAGTAGTAGTTTAAAAAACAAACAATTGTAGTAATTATTAAGTTTCTACCTTATCTGCGTATCATATAACAGCTTTTAGTTGGATATTCAAAGCTTTAAAAACCAATTTTATTGTAATATGTTAAAATGGATTTACAAAAACGAAAATATTGTTTTTAAGCTTTCAATATTTAACCAATTTATTATTATTCCAGAACTGTGTAAGCCATTTTATTTGTTCTTATACAGGAATCATATAATTGTAATAAATCTTAAAGCCATAACAAATTTTAGCACCTAAGTTACACAATTAAATTGTATATTTTAAGAGCTCACAGTTATTATTACGAAGACATTTATAATGATTTTTGAAATATCAGCATCATTTTTAATGGTGTTGGATGAGCTGTAAAATCTTAAATTTTAATTCGTTAAATATTACATATTTACAGAATTTATCATTATATTCATTTAAATACGCATATTAATGAAACATTATTAGTTATGTGATACATTTGGATTAATACAATAAATCCTTTATTCCTTTAAAAGTTTGTCTACACATTGAAGTCTTAAGATACTTGAGTACTTTAGTGATATAAGAAAATATTATTTTTGTGTTGAAAAATAATATTTATTGTATAAATATTTGTTTACCACATTGTATCTTACAAAAGCTTTTAGGGTATAATTTAAGTAATAAAGCTGTTTGGTTATCGTTCTTTGGTTTTTATACTTATAAGACATAATAATAATAAAATGGTGCATCTCTATAGTTTTCATAAAATGTTAATAACATAATAATTATTTACTCAGCGCAACATTTTAGCTTTTGAACAAATTTACACGGAAAGTGGTATCAAAATTAATTATTAGAACTCCATATCGAAACTCTCCGTATTTCGAAAACAAACCCCAAGAATAATTTAAAGCCATGTTTTAAATCATTTTAACTTGTAGCGAGTAAATCGCAATCGTAATGTTAATATTTTTCAATGCTCTGCAGTAGTAGACAATATCACAATGTTTTAATTATGAAAACATCCAAAGAATCCTACATTTTTACAGTTAACATTTTAATATTTAAATTGCCCATACAATGTTACTTTTTAATCACTTTTTACCACTTCATAAGTGCACGGTATACATAATTTGCGTGTAAAATGAATAATAATGTGTATTTTTTTTCATTTTAATTTCAACAGTTCACAATAACCTCATCCATTAGTTCAATAACAACACAAATACTTAGGAAGTTTTGTAATTTGCGTACTTTTAATTAGTAACGGAATTTTGTTCTGTTTTTTTTTCAATGCAAAATCGTACGGCCCCCGCCATGTTTATATAACTACAATTTAACAAAGATAATACATTAGCTTTCAAAACTAAACAATATTGTACTGTAGTAGTGATCGACATTATAATAGCTTCTTATTTTTTATTATTATTATTGAAAGCCTCAGCATCTAAAGCCATTGGCTGCAACAGTTGTACAAGGTTTATATTACATTATCTTACAATGCATTAATATTACTGTAGTAATTGCAAATGATTTATTAAATTAGTCTTAATTATAAATGTCAGTGTGTTATTTATGTTGTATGGATGTTGGGTTCCAGAGAGGATGTCGGGTTCTCCTGCTTCCCGTTTATCCATTTCATAGGAGAGACATTCTGTTATGATATGTTTGAGAGGTGAGAGAGGTGTGCCACAACTGACACATACAGGTGGGTCTTCCCTCTTCGTCAGATACTGGTGGGTTAGGGTAAAATAGCTTAACTTGCTATACAGCAGTCTTTATTTAGTTATTTCTAAAATGTTAGAGTCGTATACATTGTTTATAGACCAAAAATGATAAACTATAGTCATATTAAAACGATTTATGTGAAAAAATGTGGTATTTAATATAAACAATTACATTATATTCTTAAACTAAAGGCATTTATTTTAAATAAATTTCTTAAATATTCTGAAAAGGATTTACATCGAGGATATATATTTAACTGAAATTTACTTTAAATTTATTGTTTTAATAACATTTTTACCAATTACAATATTGCACAATATATAACCTCATAAGGAGCGTACAGTATATAAATTATTATTACAAAACTTTTTTTATAATTTTAACAGTATAAAAAAGAAAAAAATAGAAAGTTACTAATAAGTAATAAATAAATAATATTTTTATTATAAAAGTTTTAAAATATAATATATTATTAAATACGTTACTTTTCATAAAAAAATTTCAAAACTTGAATAATTAAGTTTCGTAATAATTTATCTACAAATAAGTATAATAAGTACGCCACTATAATGTCTCATTAATATTTTTATAGTTGGTAAGTGTAAGTTTACAAAATTATAATCGTAACGTAAGTTCAATCGGTAGGTATAATAATAAGAATTTTGAAATGACCAACTTTAACTGTATACATTTACGGTGTGCAAAACATTAGTCATGACGGGCTCTGAAAAAAAAAAACATTTACCCACACTAGTAACCTATTGTGTAATAAAACCTTAAATAAAGTTGCCTATACATAAACCGTTAAATATAATTACATAAATAATCGCTCCGAATGCCCAAGGGATGCTCTCAACTGCGAAAAACGTACCCAACCTTAAAACACCTAAACCTCACTGACGAAATTAAAGTTAAATTACCTTATCGGATTTTCTGTATACGAAAAAAATATATTTTTAAGCTACTACAGAATATTAAATAGTAAATAATGTTACATTAGTTACATGAGCTATAATCATTTTTTTAAATTATTTTTTTATTAACTGTTGGAGGCATCAACAACAAGGTTATTAGTTGACGTTACATTAATATACAGAATTTACTATTTAGTATAATCATTTTAAATCAAAACAATATATAAAAAATATTATAGTAAGATTCGTTTCATTTCTTTTAATATATCATTGCAATACATTTGGCAATATTTTCTTTTTCATTTTTTCTACCATTTAAATTCACACATTTTTGCGATTATATTAATTGTCTTATATAATATTCTCTTTAATTGGTGCACTATTTTGACGAGATTAATTTACTTTTGAGTCCGACGTTGGTATATTAAGTCTATCACTATTGGATACTTTTTATCGATGGTTAGAATCATATATTTTTATAAACACAATTTATTCAACATAACAGTTTTGATAATACGGCGTTTTAAATAGGCAAATCAGGTACACTGTCATGACTATGTTCTATTTTCAAGGCACGATATTTAGAATATTTACGAAATGTCGATAAATTTTTTTTTTTAACACTTGACGAAGTTAAACACAATTTATTAAACTTTTTCACTTTAACTAATACAGGTATTAATGTATAGCCAACCTACACAGAAATAATTGCTGAAAAATTAATATTTCTTAAAATTCTGTAAGTATTATAGTGTATAGCATAGCGACAGTCTACCATTAAGTCGAGTATCAAGTCTAACAATATTTAACTTTTAATTATTAGAAATTCTTGGAATTTTTACCCAAAATGCTCTCGTTATTCGATTACTACTCTCTGAGAAATGTTATACGAGTTTACCCTTTGGCCATTTTGACACCTTAAACTTTCAATTGGAAACTGTCAAAGTTTTACATCTATGGTGTCTGTTTGAACCTCTCATCCAATTAAACTTCTGTATTTTACAGCTAATCGAGTAATAGTACTTTATTTGTCGTGTGTTAAATGAAATTGCGAGATAATACAATTATTGGCGATTTAAAGACGATGCTAACGTTTATCAGATGTGCTCCACAAAATATAATAACAGAAGATAATAAATTGAATAAGAAACCATAATCGAAAGCCATAATAATACCAATATAGGCGCAGTTCGCTGTATGAATATTATTATAAACTTAAGTTAATTTACTAGAGATTTAATGACAAATTTGCTTTAAAACTTTACAGTCTTCTGGTACGCAGACGATAATATTACATATTATAAGAAATAAATCGAATTACTTATGTTCCTTCTCTTTTTTCATGATCATTCTTGGACTGAAATTCTTGTTAAAAATAATGAAAAACTTTTTAGTTAGATACTTCTAGTCTCGTATCACGTCCAAACGTTATCCGGTATTTCCTCTGAGGGATTGCATAGTACTTCCGGTTGAAATTTTCAGTATCCTTTATTATATACAACTACCGCGTACGAAAAGAACAGAACATTGTTTAAAACGTGCTTAAATATTTAGAGAATATTATCCACTTCGCCTAAGACGGTCGGAATGGGTAAGTATACAGATACGAAATCGATAACCATTAAAAGATTGTAATTTATAATATAAATTAATAAATTCAAGGTGTATCCTAATGGATTTTCAACAATTTATATGGTTTAAAATAATAATAATGAAAATTGAGCAATTAAATTTTTCGTAGATACTATTATTAAGACTAATGAATAATAACTATAATATAAAAATAAGTGGGCGTACGTCAAAAATAATAAAGTAGATGTTTTTTTTTTGGAACGCCTATTTGATTGTTACGCCCTTTCGCATAATAAACGGCTTCAATTGTTTTGAGTGTGACTAACAGAAATTCACATACCTATCTATACATCATAAATTTTGTCTGATTTATTATGCCGGTGACTTTTCTTCTTACTTATTAATGGTTTTTGCATAAAAAATTGAAGTCATAAACATCCAAACTAAACAATAACATAATTCCCACTATGTCCTATGCAAAATACATATCTAGGCTAAATGTTTGACAGACCTGAGCTCCTCTGCTTATATTTTAACAAAAATCAGCTAATTCCAGACTCGCACTGTTTCGTCCTCTTATCTGATAAAAATGATTAACCACCTGCAAATTCACTATCTACAAAGCCATAATAAGATCATTTTGTTAGTCTCAGAATCAACTCTAAAGAATGGCAAGTATAGTAACTGATTTTAAAGGTTGCATTCTTACACAGACATAATAATCAAATCATGTAAGTGGGCAAGCGGCACACACAAAAATATGGTACCTATTTGATTTCTATTTTATCATGATTAATTAGCAAGAGAGTTATTTTTTAACCAATGAGTACAATATTGCTGAGTTTATTATTTACAGTTAACAATATATTCAATAAATAAATTAGCATAATGACAATATTCTTCTGCAAAAATATTACACTTGAAAATATAAGGTAATAATGACTATAGTATTTATAATTTACTGTACAGAAATCAGTATAGCGTCAAATTACCAAGTTTTTTAATTACTTTAGTTATACGACGTTTGTTTGTTCAAATTTCGCAAATATGATGTTGGGTTAATACCGAAAAATTTTTCAAGTCAAGCTTATTCAATTAGTTGTGCACTACGCTCTAATTCTCTATACTGTTTTTATGCAAAACGACGAGCATACGAGTACTATTTAAACATGTGTTTAGAAACAAACATTTCAAAATCAATAAGTCGATCAATTTCGACCAAACCGTTACCAATCATTGTTCTGAAAATGTAGAAAATAATTTAAGCGATGCAAATTTAATATTGTTGATCGATAATGAAAATACTCATGATCAATATTGCCGTTTACAAATTTATCTTTAATAATTATTTTTGGAAAACACGTTATTTGAATATTTTTTAAGATGAGTTACTGTTTAAAGACCAAGAGACCCATGTAAATAATAATTTCAATAGAGAACAAAATATTATTTTTTCAATTTCTTTTACGAGAACTACCAAGTTAATAGGTACCTAAATAGTATTTTATAATAGAAGTCTGAAACGTAATTGGTTTATTCATTCCGACCGTTGAAGCTGTAAAGAATAAATTTAATTGAAGGATATATTTTTTTCAAGGAAAAAATACGAACTGTTCAAACGAGGTCCATTGGCCGATCGGCCACTCCTACACTGTCGTTTATAATACTATATATTTATACGATCGGAAAACAAATAAGTCTGGTTATATTATATTATAATGGGGGTGGTTTCTCTGCGGATTTTAATGAATGCATAAAATAGCAGTGGATTTATCTCGACTATTCACTATTATATTATTACTATCATTATCATTATACAATATTATATTACACTGACCTTATTTTGGTTTTGACAATCTCCGTGTCCAGCACGGCTATCCGAAACACGGTGCACTGGTCTGAAACGGCTGTTGGGTCCGGCACGACGATCATTTGCATCAAGTCCGCCTGCGAAACACACCCCAATAACGATGAATTCCAATTAATATACTATTATTTATATCCACTGCAAGCCAGACGACACACCGGAAGCTCCTCGCCATAATGCGTAAGAGTCAAAGACAGATCCCTTTGGGTATATAACAATAATAATAATAATAAACCGATCCGTCATTATATGTTATCGAAATAGGTTGCCGATCTATTATTAGGTATACGTAACGTTCTGTGATGTTGATCGCACATTCAACCACGATTTCATACACGATATAGTACACAATATTATGATATGGAGTGAACGTGATTCATCGGAAACGGTGGTTATTTAATTTAACCATTGATATAATATTGTAATTACTGGTTTTACGTTTGTGCACACACGCACATTTGAATAGGCATTCAATTTCATGTGCCTACGTCATCATGCCAAATATTTTTAACAATCGTGTTTCTATTCTACCCAATTAAAACGTATAATGTTAACAGCAATAATGTATACGGTGCGATATTTTAACAGCGAGCACTCAACTTTTTGAACAATTTTAAATGCACTGAATTCACATTTTCCATGTATAATTATTATTGTACTCTTTTATGTTTGACGGTCAAACCTTTATCGATTTTTAATTACCTAGTATTTATAACAAATCATATTTTTAATATAATAATCTGAATAGTACAGTCAAATAAAAATAACGATAGTTGTCATCTGAGATTCAAGTCAACTGCATATACCTAACCTTAATTTAAAAACAACTGTTTTATAAATCACCCAACTGTTTGTAATTTGTTTGATTGACGTACATCAGAATTTTTAGGAAACTATTAAGTATTTACTAATTGACTATTGTATAGTCCCCTGGCTAAAGTTACTAGGCCCTCGACAGTAAAAACGAGAAATATAATCTGAATACAATTAATCTAGTAAATGTTCCTTTCTATGATTGCAATGTATTGAAAATATTATTAAATAGACCAATGTATTTTTAATTGCCTATCTACGAAGCCGTATAAATAATTTAACAATTAAAATTTAAAAAAAAAACGCGAACTCCGCTATGGTGTATACTGAGTATTTTATCATTGAATATGCTGAAGGTCACTACTAAAATGCCCATTAGAGATGTGTTAAATTTAAATTAATTGTGTTAAATCATTACATAGCTACGAAAAAACGATTATCAATGAAGGAATCGAACTTACTTGATAATAATATAGTAATAACGCATGAGTAACTTAGTATTAGAATCTCAAACTTTTTGACGAAGAAAAAAATATATTATGAACATAAATCGAAAAAAAACTTGAAAATTCCTTATTCCTAAAGTAGTCTAAATATTTTTAAGCTTTTATTGTGTATAGATGCCAGAAGACTTTACCGGCAACCGCATTTGTTATTAATGATAAACAATTAATCTTTTTCTATAAGGCACTGTCGTAGGTTTATTTAAATGGAATTTAAAAAGTAGAATTTGTCAAAAAAAATCAAAGTATAATAGAAGTGGGTACCTATGTATAATAGACTTACATTTAAGTCACTGAAAAAAGTGAAAACTGAGAGGTTCTCAATAGTTGTATGTAAATGCAATCCGATAGGTTCGAATAGTTATGGCGCAGTATATTAATTGAAAAGTTCCACACTTCAAGATAATAAATATATTATTAGTAGTTAAATTTGAATTATTTCAATCCATTTCAATACTTTAAAAAAAAATGTTTTAAATCATGTACGCTTTTTGCAATTGAATAATACTCAAGACAAACATTGCAATTATTGTACGCAGTTCTCAATTTGAGATACGAAATATTATTGCAACAGTGATGTAATGTGCTTCCAAGTTTAAATCTTAAAAGAGTCATTAGAGATAATGTGTACCATGTACATAGTTATGAGTTTCTTCGTTTTGTTCTCAACAACATTTTAACACCATTTGCGAAATCTATTCTAGTGGATTAAGTATGTCAATTAATTCAAATCCAAAAACCGATTTAAATCTAAGATTAAAGTATTTTATTAACAAATGTAGCTCATTTATTTGTATGAGCCTTTCCAAGTAACTTCTTAACTACAGGTTTTGTTTAGACTTTAGTGTTACAGAGCCTATTAAGATTTTAAAAATAGTATCAATTTATTGTTGCATGTATTATAATATTATAAATCATTGTACGTCGAGCTTAAATGGAGCATTTCAAAAAATAATACAACAAGACATTAACAAACTTTTATAACTGTTTGATAAGCATAAAAATACTCATATTTTATAAGAGCAAACAATTTTAGAGGTTTTTATGAAATAACTTTTTTGAATAAATATTTAAAGAAACAATTACTTTATTATTACTTAAAATTATATTGATATAATATTTTAGAACATAATTTATGCGTATTATAATATATAAATAATGGAATATCATCAAATATAAAACATACCGTTAACGATTCCTCGAAGACGTCCATGTCATAATATTCCGGAGATGAGGCATATGAATTTTGCATCAGCGTCTCAGTCGTAACCCATCTACAGTCCAAATACGCTATGATTTCATCTTCTTGAAATCTACAAATAATATTATATTAAAAAAATGGAAAAAAATAATTCTGTAAGTGCTCTTTTGAATAATAATAATAATAAAAGTAATATTGGTTAGTATGAACGAAATTAAAACAATCGAAATTTCTTTGAATAAAATTTGCTCAAGAACTCATTTTTCTTAGTTAATTAAGTTAATATTTTTTTCCTTAAGTCTTTTCTGTTTTCAGTTCTCAATACGAACTATGGGTACACTTTATTATTTTATATATACTTTACTAAAATGATTACAAAACATCTAAATTTGTAAACATTATGCTATGTACTAAAAATTATTTATGATTAGGTATAAACAGAACTCAAACGTATTGACTGGATGCTACTAAATCAGACTTTCGTAGTTGTAACTTGTAATGGTATTAAAAAAAATATTCTATAAAATCCATCATACTGTCTTTTTATCTGCGGTTTATATATAAAAACTTATCCAATACATACTAATATAATTTATTATTGGAATATTGTAGTATAGTAGTAGTATTATGCCACATTAACTAATAACTAATTATAGAAAAATGTGCATATGGATAATAGATTATAGGTATTAGGTATATAAATTAAAAATACAATTTTTATAGTCCATACATTTAAGTATCATTTATTAGTTTATTACTCAATACTTACTTCATATTTTAATTGTTAGAATATCGTCAAATGATTTATAAAAATGATTTATATTGAACTGAACAATTTTAAATTATTGTTAACTTGTAGGTATGTTATACTGTACAAATATAATTTACGACTGGTTTGTCGTTAGGTTAAATAAAATATGCAAAAAAAAAAAAATTACAATGCTGTGAACTTACCCCAATCCTAGCTGATGAGTAATTCCATCGGCTAAAACCGCAGCGATCAGCACTGATCTATTCGACTGCCTCGTGTTTACAGACACTCGTAATAGATCTGGACCACTGACTTCAAGCGTTATGACCTTCAATGGTTCTACCGATGAAGATAAACGGAATACAGTACCAAAGTCCACCTGGAAACAAAAAATCCGAAATTAGGTTAAGTGCAATCTGTCGAACAGAAAGATTTATTTAAATAGGTAGCAAATAAACTTTAGGTTTTTAAATGGTGAGACCATTTCAAATGTCTTTAATGGTCGATTTTTTATCAGCTGGTGCTCAACATGAAGAATTGTTTTGTGAGTATGAAAATAGTCCAATGATTTAAAATAATAACATTCCGTTATATCATACACTGTTATATTATAAGTTATAATCTATTATTGGGTATATTTAACAGTAAACGTACACTCGTATGATATTAAAGGTTATATCTAAATCAAAAATTCTCAGAGATTAATTTTGAGTTATTCAATTTTATGTATTAAGACTTAAGAGTGCCTAATGGTTTTTAATAATTAGTGGCTGAACTTTTACACAGTGACGTGCTCATATTTTTTTTTTTTTGAAAGTGGAGTTTGAACTTTTGATTATTCCCAGACCATGTTATACTTATTTATTCGTGTATTTTATATCGACAAAAATAAGCCAAGGGAGATATGACACTCTCATCACCTCTGCGAGCACGCTACCGCTATTACATAAAATATAGAACATAATCAGATGTAATATTTTGTTAAGTACTTAAGTAGTACTTGGACATTTTTTTATAAATATATTGTAAAGTGTTTAGATATATAATAATGTAAATTAGTACCGAAGTGTAATTTTCCAATTATTATAGCATTATATCTTCTAAATAATAAATAAATACCAATATTATGGTGTATTTTTATTTTTTATGCTTAGTAAATAAAGTTTAGCACCTAACTCAAAACAAACTATCAACATTTTCAAATAAATCATCTGCTTAACAATTTAAAGTTAAAAAAGTGGTTTTCATAAGAAAAAAGAAGTTGGTATCGCAACGGGATACTCCTTAAATGGCATACAGACTCTAAGTACTTTTTTGAACGTATGAACTTGAACTTGTATGTTGGTGTAAGAATTCTTAAAAATGCAAAAATCAAAATTTGAACAAAATAAGGGAAATGCATACATACATTAAATGTTCATTACATTTTGGGAAATATATATGGGACAGATCAATGGATTTAGGTCTTTGTTTGGATGATTTGATCAGCATATTTGGTCCCAATTGAAATAAAACTTATAAATTGCACACTACAGTTTAAAGTAGATTAAAAACTATATTTGAAGTTTAAATTGTTGAAAAATATTCAATATTGTCATATTGAGGAAACAGGAGGAGATTCTATTGCCACAGATCCCTAAATTTAGAAAATATAATATCTTTATCAAAAAAAAATATACATATTATGTACATGGACAATTCTGAAATTGAATCAATTCACTGATCACTTTTCAACTATAATATTATAATTTAAATATTAAATTTATATGATGACGCACGATATTAATTGTTATGGTATATTCAAAACAGTTGATGACGATTTATACTTCCCTTTATGAACAAAAACATTTTATGCGACTCACGTGAAGCAGTCATGTATATAATATTGCAATCAGTTGGCGGGTAAAGCCAAAATATATTTATACACACATACCCATATAATAGATGTATAAATAATATATAAATATATATATATTATACGCACACATGTCATGTACACGCATTATTGCGTTTTCGAACCCGAAATGATTATAAATTATGAATTTTCAATGAGATTTAAAACGAACGAAAACAAAAGAGCTGCAATAAAACGTAATAATATATTATAATTGATTAACTGAAATTTTTGGCGCATTCGACCAAATTGGTTTACTCCACACCCACACACACACGTGCATATTTGTGAAATAATTGCCACCGCCATTTTGAATGGAGATTTGGATAGGACATCGTACGATGAAACACTGTTAATAACCATGGAGGTCAAAAGTCACGTACACTCAACGTCCCTCCTTAGTTGTTAGGACGTTAAACGTACCTATATACTGTTCAGAATCAAACATAAACGAGTTTTAATTAAGAAATCGCGTTGATGACGACGTTTCAAATCCAAACCTTTAATAACGTCCAATTGTACGTAACCACTTATCCTATAAACGTCCATTTCCAACTGATCATCGATTATCGTTTTCTAAATAGGCAGTAATAAAGGAAATTCATCAACCATCAATTACAATGTAGGCAAGTCTAAATTGTTTTGATTATCATTGCCTATGTTCTACTGAAAAATGTTTTAAACACATTATAATATTATAGTCGCAAACTAGTTAAAAATCCTAGTCCATAAAGGTTGATAAAAGTGACTTCCCGTGACTATAGGTACAACAATATAAATATACAGCGATAATCTTCGATAATTGTCGATAATCGTCAATCACGGAAGCATAAACTGTATCAGTATTCAGTATAGTTTATAATATATACTCCACACACAATATTTATCTGATAAATGTTAAGTTTTTATACTTTGATTCAGTATCTGGTCTGTTTGTCAAACAGTTAATATCGTTCTCGCCTATATTTGTACTATAATTAATATTTTTGTGACATTTTTAAGTATTTAAAAGAACAAATATGTGATTTTTTTTAAAACACTAATTTAATTATGCCTATATTCGACTAATGCAGAGGTTCCCAAACTTCTTATTGTGCGACCCATTTAAAATTTTTTTTTAAATATAGCGACCCACAATATCAATGAATGACCTTTTTTTTTTTACCATACAACAGAAAATTAAACTATTTTATTACATTTTATGTAATTACGAAAAAAATGTATAATAAGTATAATATATAGTATTTGACACGGCCGCTGGTAAACTCGTAATTGTCATACTCACAGATAAGGATTGACGATAAAACTGAATTTGAACTTTGAACATCAACGAAAAGTAATAGATGATTATATTTTTGTATTATTTAAAAAAATAGTGCGTCCCACCAAAAGTATAATCGCGACCCACTTTTGGGTCGCGACCCACAGTTTGGGAACCTCTGGACTAATGTATTATAATTATTATTATATATTATTATTACTTTCATTATAATTTGAAATATCTAAGTATTTAAATGTACAATGGTTATGTGATATGCAATTATATAATGATACGAATATGTTATAGTATTTGTACATGGTTCTCAAATAATAATTGGGGAAACGTCTTTTTACAAAAATAAATTTTGGCCGAAATAGGAATCGTACCTTTTTTGTTTTTGGCGGAATAGGGTTTTGCGTAAATTAGGGAACTCGTTTTTTGACGGAAACCTTCCAGCGAGGATCTACCTATAACCCTGTACTATATAGGACTCGATACGATAGTAAATATATAATTGAGAATAAAATAATTTTTTTTCTGAACGCCCAGTAGAATATACAACTCATACACGACCATAAACATTATTTAGTTAGACAATATGGCTAGTGTGCCTATATGAGGCCTACGCGGGAGGCGAAATTCCTACACAACATTGTACACGCTACGCGAGTTTTGTTTTTAATAAGTATATATATATATTATATATATATATATATATATAGGTATAGACTAGAGCAAAACTATTATTTGTGAAGCTCTATATTGTTATTACTACGTTTACTGCAATAGTCATTTCACAATCATTAGCAAGCACCTACCTATATATTACAACCGTGGTGCAAAATCCCTGACCACCCCGCCGAAATGTGCGCCAAAGATACCGCGGTGTGGCGAGGGTACTCCTGTCGTCATTACCTACGAGAATATTATCGACCGATCGGCCGTGCGAGGTGAGTATAATAAGGATGCGAAAAAAATCGTAAACAACTATTTACTTCCGCTTATGTACACCTATACTCGTTTTTTTCCACGTTCAGCGACACAACTGCAATGACAACGAAGACGCATTAACTGCTTCGTCTCTAGCAATCGGCGCCCAGTGAACAATATGGACTGCGGTATTGTTGATTACCCATACGCTTAATATTCGACCATCAACAACATGTTTCGGATTTTTTGTGTGTATCACAGTTTTTACATGTCAATAACACCAAGTATCGAGTTGTCAGGGTTCGGCCGCGGAAAACTGTGACAACTGAAAAGCGTACTCCAGTAATAACAACAATATATTGTATTAGTTTAGTTATTTGTCGATGTATAATATATCTGATAAAAAAAATTAATAATCAAATACTCGCGGAACATTTAAAAACGGTACGTGCAAAAACCCATAATAACTCCAATTTACGTTAAAAATCTGTTGTTGACAGTATTTGATTGAAAACAAATTTAGAGTACAAGAACGATACACTATTCCAACAAACCGTATGGAAAATATAATAACGTGTTTGGGAGTTGTCTGCAGGTTTTTGCATCACCTTCAACAGTGCAACATCACAATCACAGTTTGCGTTAGTCTGTGACTTTTTTCAGTCACGCAAGGTGTAATGTATTTACTATTTCCCTGAAAATTTTATTATTATTACATTAATTATTTTGTCCTGTCAAACATTCTAGGTAGGATATTGATGTAGTGTTTTTCAAACGTATTTTCCAATGCGAAAGAACACGAATAATGAAATTTAATTTTTGAATGAATAAAACGATAATAAAATATACCAATATAGGAAAGAAGATTGATACGAAAAATTAATAAATAAACACATGCGAATGGCGCATCAAAGTCTGGGGGTACCGATCGTTATCGTTATGGATCGAGTTGGCGCATTATACATTTATGTATAGAAACACGGGTAGGTATTGTGTTTTACTGCATTATTATGCTGCAATGGCTGCCATACCGTTGCCCGCTGGGCGCTGGTCCGGGCGATATCATTCGTATTACATCATTGTAATTTGTACACGGAGTCGCGCGAGAATCGGAATGGTTTGACTTATTATATTACACTATACCCACATTATTATACCTAGGTATAACATGGTATATTGTCGATGAGATGAGCAGATTGGCAGCGGCGGCGGTGGCGTCCGAAAGGTTATATTAATAACGGACCGCTGCGGGCTGCAGTCCGCCGACGCTTTAAATATTTGCGCTCAGACTGCT